TCAACTTTCAACATCTTGATTTGCTCTTCTTTTAACATCTCGATTTGCTCCTTCAACATCAATCAAATGATTTTTATCCAGTTTCTAGATGGAACTTGAGTTTTTGCAGGATTTTGGAATCCTTTTTTCTTCAAGAATGCCTTCCTGAGTCGATTTGTTATTGAGTTCTTGTCTCCGGTATATTTGAAAATTGAAATAAATTCCTGGTATTTAGTGGTAATTTCAGTGACAATTAATGGCAATGACAGTGGTAATTAGTAGTATTTAGCGAAAATAACAGGTAATAAGTGGTAATTTGAGTGGCATTGAGTGGTAATTTCTGAGTGAATGAAAGGTAATAGAGAAAAAATGTGGTAATTTAGAGGTAATTTGTGGTAATTTCTGTCAGAAGTGGTAATTTAGTGTACACAGTTCCACTACTGAAATCCCCCTCGAGAATATCGTTTAATAAATCCATTCAAGTTTATGAACGAAAACGACAAGTGCACCAACTTCTAATAACCTATACAATACGTGTGGTTATGCCCTATACAATGAAGAAAAGCTGAATTCCCAATCATTGAATGCTCGTCAATTGTATACCTACCGGTTTCGAGTTTGTTAGCTCTAATCAGTGCAATAAAGGCGAAAGCATATCAAATCAGAGAAAAAGTTGTGGAATTAGTATATTACATTACGAGTCTAGAAAGTGACAAATTTCACACGAGTGTATGAAAGACGCTTTCTCATGAGTGATGTGCGCCATTTTTCCTACGACCAGAAACCTATTTACACCAATTTTCTCTTATTTTATTTCTTTTCATTTTCAACACACGTACCTACTGAAAGTATTTTCAACTTATTGATAGTAAATGTCAATCACAAATAATGTCAACAGTATTTTCCACATATCTGCTGAAAGTACTTTTAGCGCGCGTATTGAAAGTACTTTCAGCACGCGTGTGATATTTAGCGCTTTCCAAAGAACCAACTAGTGCGGATTTTGTCATTTTCATATGTGGTCGTAGGAAAAAACCTATTATAATTTGTAGCTCTCTCTCTCTTCGAAGTCATACAACGCAAAACCATTGGCAAAACTGAGAAACGACCCGTCTGCAGGGCCTATTTTACCAAAAGGCACATAAGGCCCGAGCCTTGGGCCCGGTGTAAAGCTAGGCCCCCAGAAAGGCTTGAAAAAAAAATCACCATTTCAATTTGTAAATAAACCAAAGAAAAAAAAAACGAATATTCCGGTATCTGATTCAGAAAATTGAATGAAGATAGACTTTTCGGTTGGCGTCATACAGCCGGAATGTCTTTCTGAATTCAGAAATGGAATTCATAATCTGAATTTATAACGTACGGAATTGTATACAAGGTGTCCCCGTTTTTTTGGGGTGGTTCCAGGTAGAAAATGGGGATACATTATACGAATTTTTAAATGCCATTCCTACATAAATAATCTGAAAATTTGGACAGCCTATAAAGCCCTTCAGATAATAATGAAAGGGGGTTTTTTAAATTTCAACGCCCTGTATTTTGGAAACGACGGACTTCCGAACATCGGTGTCCAATCTCAAACTATTTCTCTAGGGTTCCTTCATGTACCCTAGCATTTTTGACCAGTTGAACGAGGACACCCTGTATATTTTTATTATACAGCACACACATTCTGATTTTTTCAGATTATGAATTTTTCATATCGATCTGCCAGAGTGACTCTAACAAGCGTTTTGAATTCTTCTGAAAAATTAAGATTATAATTTATAACGCATGTTTTTCTATATGTTTCAAATATACAAGCTCACATAGCCGGAATTCAGATTCTGATTCTTCCCTTCCAACCAACATTGGTCAAAAGATGCCGCAAACTATAGGAGGATACTGGACGCGGAGTTTTTAAGATATGTGTGGGGCAACGTGCCATAATTCAGATCCTGAATTCCAGAAAGTCATTCCGGTTGTGTGAGGCCGGCCTTAAATTGTACAATTGATTTTCGAGTTAAAAATTCAATTTTTTTAAAAAAACAGAAGATGACACCACCCCCACGAAGTTCGCAACCCACGGATATTGGGGACCCGAAGTTTTGCTTGGGCCTTGGGGCCCAACTGAATCAAAAATAGGCCCTGCCCGTCTGGGTGTGATAAAATCAGAATGTTGAGAAAATATTTCAACTAACTTCACTGTGGCGGTGTTATAAACGAAAAAATTATCTACGAGTGTTTAGTTACTGGTAGAAATTATCAATTAAAAAAAAATTATATTCTATGCTTATATTCTATTTTTTTGAAATTTCAATAATTTAAGCTTAAATCTACTTCAATAGTTAATAAAACAGGTAATAATATAAAATTAGTAGATACAAGTTGCGTTGGTGACGGTTTCTTAATTTTCGGTTAAACCTCTATTTTTTGTTTCTGGATTAAACTTGACATTTGCCTGTCCTAACATGCTCTAGACATGTCAAAAATCAAGTTTCAGCAACAATAAAAATAACCGAGATCTACGATTAATGGCCATTTCCACCAACGCAAATTTAAGTTTACTTAACGTTAAGTGCTGTTTATATTATAGTTTCTTTTCCACCAGTCTAACCTAGTCTCATTAAGATTAGCTTTACTAAGCCCAGAACTTTCTAGGCTTATTCTTCCCTTAACAAAGTGGCAATGATAAGCGATGGAATAATATTATTTAAAATATTATAAAAATAATAATTGTCAAGTTCTTGCCATGCAAGAAAAAAAAAGGTTTTACTATTGTAAAAGAAAATTGTATTGAAATAATAAGTAATATGTAGTTGGTATCTACTCGTGAAAACTTTAGAGAAATTGATTTCTCAACAATTTTTTCAGAATCAAAAGGATTTTTCAGTCCCGAAACAGTATTATCTGAGATTATTTCCAATACCAAATCGTCTGATGACTCAGAGGGATCTTTGGGGGGAGACCCACCCTCTGTTAAATATCTTGTATTCTACCATATTTTTCCTTATTTTCTTTTTCTATTTTCATAAAAAAATTTTAATAAGTCACAACTTCAATAACACAGATTTGGAGTTAAGCTGGATTTATAAACTCAGACGTCTGCGCCCGCGCCCGTGCTCGCGCTCAACATATATAAATTGTGTTCTTGTTTTCTATTATTATACGTTTGTACTTTGTCGCAAGGTTTACCAGAAGGTCTTTCTCTTGGGCAGTATAATTTGCAGGTTATGATGGTGGACAAAATGCAAGGTTGCCAAAGCTAAACAACACTTAGGTAAGATACATCCGAAAGACGATGGTGGAACGCAAATTTAATTAGGCTCTGCTTACGTTTTGAGGGACGCTTAGATATTCTCAGCTTAGAGCTTTATTGGTGGAAACGGCCATAAGAAACCTGCAATAAGCAATAAGTATGATTTAAACAAACAAAAAAACTACTCTCAGATTTCCTTTCTGATAAATTGAAACTACTTGAAATATCAATAACCAATTACTTAGTAGGTAACAAAATTGTTAATTCGTCCTGAATCTAGCTGAACTTCTAACTGATAATGAGGAGTGGCAATAATAAGTTCTTAACCTTCCATTAGTCGCGCGTGTATCTGAGAGATACATGCCTATTGTTATTGCAACCCTATAGGATTATGGCTTGTAGTAGTCCTTAGGCACCCTATTCTAATTACGTTCCCAAAATTATATAGTCGTACCTCTACCTGGAAATTTGGAATTTCCAAAAAACTCCAGGTGTACTTGACTGATACAACGCGGCTATTCTTGTTACCAACGGTGCTCCTCAATTGTAACTCTTTGCTGGGTATGTGAATATAATTTTTTTTTATACATACATTATGGTACATGGACTAAGGTAAAGATGGAAATCGATAAGACAAAATTCCTCCCAAGCTGACTCGGATGAGACCACATAGTAATATGCTAAAGCTGCTAAAGGCGTTGTGTTCAAACTGCAATGACTGTTAAAATAGAATTTAACTTCTGGAATCCCTTTTTCAGTGAAAATATTTTATCTATCATTGTTGAGTATGCAAATCAATACATAGAAATTGTTAAACCGAAATTCATCAGACAGTTCAATTTTTTTATCAATTATTTAGTATATTATGTATCTTTGTGATACAGCGCGATTAATGATGTTATAAAACTTGCGCGTTTAATGGAAGTGGAATGAAAATAATAATTATTATATACAGTATACAGTATGTCCACTTTAGTTCGCAGCATATGGGAAACTTGAAACTTTTTTATTATTAATTTTACGAAAAAAAGTTATTCCTTATAAAAGTTTCTGCTTCTTGAAAAAATAGTCTTAAACTATTAAAACTTGAAATAGCATGTACAGGGTCGTCAAAAAATATAAAAATATACAGGGTGTTTTGGTAAAAGTCGAGGTAAAAGTAGAAAAAAATGGCACGTCATTATTTTTTTAAACCTTTGATAATTTTTCCAAATTAAGCAAGTTATATTATTACAGTCAAAAGATACCTTTTGTGATCACAAACAAACCTGCCAAATTTGAAAAAGAATTTGAGCTAAAAAACCGATTTTTTAAAAATTTTGACATCCTGTATATCAGAAACTTCCCCTTCTCGGACACATGTTTATAAAAACTATTTTTTTTGAAATATTGTAAGAAATCACATTCTGAAGTTACGAACCGTAATTCGGAAACACCCTGTAGATTTTTCTATTTTTTGACCACCCTGTACATGTTATTTCAAGTTTTAATAGTTAATTATTATTTTTTCAAGAAGCAGAAACTTTTATAGAGAATAACTTTTTCTCGTAAAATTGATAATAAAAAAGTTTCTCATATGCTGCGAACTTAGTGGACATTGTATAAGAATAAACTTATAACAAGCCCAGTTCAATTCTTAGACTTATACAAGCCTATTCATCCACGTAACACAATACTAAATAAACACTTTTAACAATAAGGACGGCGCTAGAATAAACAACTGCGATCCCCCTAAGACTTAAAAGACACAGCGAAAGTCCATTTGTTTTTTTATAATCGAACAATGGTCAGGTTTTACTTGATTATATTAGCTGTAGCTCTGTGTAGGTAAGTTCAATATTCATATTCATACATAATTTTCATTTAATCAATTACAAATTCTTAAGAGCTTCAGCTCAAAAATTGTTTCCGGACAATTTCAAATTTGGAGCAGCTACTGCCGCCTATCAAATTGAAGGAGCTTGGGATGAAGATGGAAAAGGAATAAATATTTGGGATACCTTCACACATACAGCAGGCAAAATTAGAGACAATTCCACTGGAGACGTCGCTTCTGACTCTTATCACAAATACAAAGAAGATGTTGCTATTCTCAAGGACTTGGGTGTCAAGTTATACAGATTCTCCATTTCGTGGTCGAGAATTATGCCTGATGGTCGTCCATACAGCATCAATCAAGCTGATATCGATTACTATGTCAATTTGGTTAAGGTGAGAGCTTTAAATGTTCATAAAAACCTTTATTTTGCGAATTTTATTGTTAGGAACTGATCGAAAACGATATCGAACCATTTGTCACTTTGTACCATTGGGACTTGCCCCAATATCTTGAAGACCTTGGTGGTTGGTTGAACCCCAGAATTGCTGATTATTTTGGAGATTACGCTAGGGTCGTTTACACAGCTCTGGGACCTTATGTCAATTATTGGGTTACCATCAATGAACCAAGTACTACTTGCGTCCTTGGTTATGGCCAGGTAAATACTTTCGATTTGTGATTGATGAATAGGATATACTTGCCACTTTGAATCTATATTTCACTTTTTGCATTTAAATGAAAAAATACGTTTCACCTTCCAGATTTGTTAACTATTACAATAGTATTTCTAAACTCATCTCTAAAAAAGTTACTACTACCTATTGAAAATAATAAGAATATTCATCATTCATTTTTACCAAGTAATGCTCTTCTTACAGGGTATCCTAGCCCCAGGCAAAACTCTCATCGGCGACGGAGTCTACCTTTGCGCCCAAAACAGTTTGAAAGCTCACGCTAAGGCCTACAGAATCTACGAAACCGAATTTAAACCTCTTACCTATTTTGTCGTGTTTGGGTTTTTGTATTAAAATAGGGCGGATATTTTTTGGCGTTGAAACAATGAGTTTTTACTTAAATAAGTAATTTGAATTATGATTGTAGCTCTTTTGAATCGCGATAACTGAAATTTAAGTCCTTCATTTTATTGATTCCAAAAATACAGGAGTAAGGCTCTTAGCGTCGTTTTCGCATTAACTGTCGAAGTAAAATCCGACAAACAGGCCAGGGTACAATTGGAAAGCTAATTTCGTGCCCTTTCAATCGAGCTATCACTCGACCCATCGTTCCATTAAAGATTAAGGGGTTGGAGCCCACCCCCGTTAGGGGTTGAAGCTTACAGGGCTAAAAATATGCAGAGAATATTTCCCCCTCCGAAACAAAATATACGTGTCCGAGCATTTTTTTCTTAAATTTCACAAAAACCGGTAAATCTAGGTGGATACTTTTCAATGGACCACTCTGTATATAAGAAACCGTTGTCACCTTTTCGATCACCTATGAGAGAACCTAGATACAATGAGTGTCCCAAAATGCAACTTTTTCAAAAACACCTTGTATCTGAAAAATAAAAAGAGCGATGACAATTCTGTTGGCGCCATCTCTCGTTTGACAAAAAGGAGTGAACGTTCGCGAAAATTGCATCCTTCTAACTCCAATAGCAACCGAGTTATAGACAACTAAAATGGGACACACTGTACAGAATTTAAAGCTTTTTAAAGTGCATTGTGTGCTTGTTTTGTGACACTATCCCTAGTGTCCCTGAATCTAAAATAAAGCCATACTCGAAATACTTGTGAGGATCTACGCTTTTGTAGGCCCTCATTTGTTCATTGCTGTGAAAACTGTAGATCAAAATGTAAACAAATGTCAACTAGATATTTTTCAAACTTACCGTTCGCCCACATCCAGATTTTCCTGCATTAAAGTCTTTAAATATTCAGTCTGCATCTCGAAACGTTTATTATAACAAAGTGAACTGTAATTAGCTCGAAAATATTCCAAAAAACTCAAGATAGACAAAAACCGTCAAATTTCTCACAAACGCCATATTGAATAATCAGTGGTTTGGAGAGCCTAATTGTACTTAATGAAAATTGGTGAGCTTAGTAAGCTATATTTTTTAACCCGTCATAACACGCGCCAAAAAACTTACGTCATTACAAGCGTTCGGTCAAATCGACCGATTGCCCAAAAGTTTATATAAATTATTAGCTTTTTTCGCGGAGACAATCCCAAACGTATCCTGAACGCTAAGGCATGACCTACGCAGGTTTAATAATCAATAGAGACATGAAACTTTCAAAAAAAACCTGCGTAATTCATGCCTTAGCGTTCAGGATACGTTTGGGATCGTTTCCGCGAAAAATGTATACAGGCACTATAGTTCCTGGAATTCATAATCATTACAAAGGGAATTATATTAAGCAGTACAGTTACCGTATTATCGATAGCCAAAAGTACTCCCAATATCAGAAAATGCCAATTTTGAACACAAATATTTTAGATACTCAGGTTCATGCGCCTAGTAAAAAGCACCGATTATGAAAACAACGAACTATTCTTCAATCAAAAACCAAAATATTTTTGGGCCAATTGGTAGTGGAAAACCTGCATCAGGCATTCCTGGATGGACAAAACTGCTACCCTTGTACCAGTGACGTAATTACTGATTTCATCATTGGTCGGTCTTTTCGACCGACGCGCGTGTACTCCTGGTTTAATAATTTCCTATGATATGGCCAACGAAATTTTTATATTTATTTTATTTCAAACAGACACCATGCTTTTTTCAACTATTTTTTCTTATTCCTGTACTTGCAAAATTTTCATGCTCAAGAGATAATTTAGACCAACATTAAAATTGCTACAATATTTTATTCAATACATTCATCTACAAGGCATCTAGTCCTGATTACGTTTTGATACCACTTGTACGAATCTTTAGGTGTCCTCGTTCGATTTTCACTATCAAAGTCTACCTGTATGATACCCAACTTCTGACTGAAAACAATAAAAAGTACAGTCTACGCATACTAATTTATTTTTCTCTTACTTACGTGTAGCCATTGGTCCATTCGAAATTGTCCAAAAGGCTCCAAACTGTGTACCCTGTTACATTTACTCCATCTTTGTAATAGGCATCTAGAAGGGCACTAAGGTACTCCTAAAAAAATTGCTTATAGCATATTGGTTCAATCGGAAATAATTGTCTCACGCTTATATATCTTGTTCTATTGCTATCATTCAATTGCCCTGTCAAATCAGCCCAACCATTTTCAGTCACCACAATTTCGGGATGACTGAATTGCTCGTAGACGTATTTTAGTAATTTTCGGAATCCCCACGGTACCATATGCACCCATTGAACTTCAGACGGCCATGCGGGGTCGCTGTATGCAGTAGTACCTTGAACCTAGTTGTGAAAACTTGTAAAATGTAATTATCAAATTGCCTTACCTTTATCAAGATAATAATTTGGTTCCCCTATACTTTCATTTACTGAATTGCCGATGGTAATATAGTTAGTAGAATATCTGTGAAAAAAAAAATATTCTTAGACATAAATTAGGTGAAACATGAATCAATGACCAACGTGTTGAGGCAAAAGAAATCTGAAGTGCCATTTATAAAATCAATTTCCTGTTGGGTAAGTTCTGGTAGTCTTGATTTGGGAAAGCCTTCCAGGGTACTTCTTTGTGCTACGTTATTTATGACCACTTGAGGCCAGTTCCCAAGGTATATTGGATTAGCGTAGATACCCAACTAGAGTAGGAAAAACAAATTTAATATTCTTAAACAAACTATTTAGCTTTCAGTTTACCACAAATTCTCTTTCTGTTTGAGCAGCTAAAATATCACTTTCATTATCGGAAGCTGGCTCTGCCCAACCGGAATCAATAACAATGGAAACTCGTCCTGGAAGTAAATTATAATAATTTTTATTGACTAAAATTGAATCAAAATACCTTGTTGTTTTGGTCTAAATTCCGCATCATAAATGTGGTAGGCTTTAGCATGTGCTAACAAATGAACAAAGGCACATTGATAAAGACCTTCACCCATATGGTGATAACCTGGTGCCTTACTACCTTCAGCATACCTTCAAAAAATTGTTAAGACGTTGTTATTTTTTGCAGGAATTTTAGTTACCCTCCCAAGCAAGTAGATTGTGGCTCGTTAATAGTTATCCACGTTTTCACATATTCGCCAAAATATTGAAAACATATTCTTGAATATTCGGCAAAATAGTCAGCTAATAGTGGGTTGTACCAGCCGCCGATTTCGTGAAGGGTCAATGGCAGGTCCCAATGGTATAACGTTACCATCGGTTCGATATTGTTTTCTTTCAATGCCTAAAAAGTGAAAGGATTCTAAAGAAATGCCATACAAGGAGATGCAAGAAGCATGTGGGTATAATCAAAAATTGGAGTCATTGTTTAGGAGATGCCTACCTGGAGTTATAGCGAAATTAGAGTTTGGCATAATTTATTCAATATTCTTGTGAATCTCTCAAGTTGGGAAAATTTGAACAAACTTGCAACATTGCCTGATGACTGAGAAATTTGTATTCAAAATTTTACCGCGCAATAGTACATGGAATTCAAGACGAGCGGAGTCGAATTATCTAGACAAATCTAGCAGCAACGAGGCCCTATAAAGGAGAGTCGGGCCCGAGGCAAAAAGGTGAGTGATTAATTAAACGTCAGTGTATCAAAGCTCAACAAGTTTTGAGTTGAATGCGACTGAATTAATGAACGGATAATTAATGAAACGCAGCGAGTCAATAGTAAGACAGAGTTGCGACTTATTTTAACAATAAGTGTGCCAGAAACAAATACAAAAATGTAGAGTACTTAGTTGAAATCTTCTCGAAAATAATTTGTGTATAGAAGTGATAGAGGAGAGAATGATGATAGAAAAAGTAGGCCAACCCCTCCCAAAGGGCCTGCGGGGCTCTGCCACAAGAGTCTGGGGAACAGACAGGCGGAGCTCCGTAATTCGTAATAAGTGCTAGTCGTTGTATGTTGGTATTTTTAACGGAACAGAGCAAATTAAAACTAACCCAAACATCTTTATTTCCAAATTTCATCATAATAAATTTACAGGTAGGGGGGATAGGCTCCCCTCAAACTACAAATATACAACATTTATTTAAATCTAGGACAGGACTTCTTAAACTAAAATCGCAGCGTACGCGGCACACTGTGCTCATACACTCGCCTAGCGAGCATTGTGGGCGCTTTAGTCTGGTCGATGTTGTTGACCGCAAACCCCTGTTCCTATTATTATTAGGTACCACTTTCCACGACGCTCCCCGGTTACCCTTTAACGTCGATTATTTGACCCTGAAGTCGCTGGTGGATACCACTGATGGCGTGCACTAGGCCATTACACTGGCCTGTCTTGAAAATAAGGGTGGAATGCTTGGATTTGGAGGGAAAAGCTTTGAAAAACCCCACTTTTTATTAACTTAGGCTTAAAAAGAAAAAACAAAAATGTTGTGCCCTTGGGCAGTCGGGTTCACTGGACGCGTCCTCACAAGCAATTGTAAGCTTAGAGTATGTGCGCGTGAGCGCGGATACGAATTGAATGGTTTCAACAGCCCTGCACCCTGACCAATCCCGAGACCTGATATGAGTCTCTAAGTAATATGGTTTTGGTGCAGGTGGGGGCACTTCGGCCTGAATTGGTTTGGAGTTTGAGAGGGCGTCGTCTTGTTTGAAGCAGAAAGTGCGGCCGGTGATAAAAGCATGAATCAGGGAGATGATGTGCAGTGGGCAATTGAAAGTTGCGAGTAATTTGTAGATAAAGCCTGCATGCCAGACCCTATGGAAGGCGCGCTCCATATCCAGCAGCAGGAGAGTCTCGTGTTCATGCGCCTGTTGAACGCTTAGAAGACGTCGCAGCAGATTTGGCTGCAAGAAGTGTGGTGTTGTGACGGGGGCGAAATCCGAACTGCTCGTTTGGGAGGACCCAATTTAAATAATTACATAGATTATATAATTTCAGGTAGGGGGGTCAGGCCTTCAACGAGAATCGAACCCGGGACCATTTGCTCTAAAATCCGTTGGTCGTGCGTATCCCAAATACGCCGCACCATGCCTGTGGAAGTAATCGTAGAAATCGAAGTTATAAAGTGCGCAAAACATTACCTTTCCTAAGCTATAACGATACATTTGGCAACGGAAGGCTTTTTAGCCGATTCTAAATGAACACATTAGGATCGGTGCAATATTTTGATGAATTTAGCCACACGCGGAATAGCGTTCAGCATCGTCTGGAGCTCTGTATGTCTGCTTCTTAGACTCTTTAGGCTCTGCCCTGCGGGTTTCATGCTTAGAAGAAGGACATTTGGACAGGGAATAAAGGGCTACTCGAAGGACCCTCGATAAATGGAGGAAAGATCATGAGCTTCAACATCGAATCATGTAAGTTAATCTATGGTACAGAAATGTCAGACCGCGAGCAGCTTTGCTACTCGACATCAAAATAAAATTCTCACCTGTTCCAGAATTTATAACCCAAGATTTAGCAACCGCGTTACTGGAAATGCCAACAAAAACGGGCTCAAGGCACATTATTACATCCTCAGCCCTCAGCCTACTTTCCAGAGGACGTGAAGGACCACCCGAGATGGTCCAACGTCTCATAAAATGGTGTTCAAACAGAGACAGGCATTTTATCATCGGTGCCGATTCCAACTCACACCATCAAGAAGGATAGGGTAGCACCGATACAAATACTTGGTGGTGAGTACCTTTTTAAAGAAAATAGACATAATCAACAAGGGCAGGGCAGCAAACCCACATTCATTACTGCCATTAGAAAAGAGGTCCTAGACAATAAACTTGGATGTCTCTGGCGAACCTCCACGTCGGACCATCAAATGATTACCTCCAAAGATTACAAATTGGGACTTGTATAAAGGAACTCTCAGCATGAGCTTAGGAGAACTTTCAAAAATCATTGGGACAGGGGAGGAACTAGAGGCAGCCTCACATAGTCTTAATCAATGGCAATCAAAAATCCCTTTGGAACATCTGTCCTAAAAAGAAAAGACTGGAACTACTGGAGACTGGGAAAACTACAGGACAGCCCTAACAAAGTTCAATAGAGCCTCAAGAACATCCAGAGGGAGAACCTGGATGCGAAGTGATAAATCAGTTAGCCCCAGCACAACGCCTTCAAAAAGTCTTGTCAAAAAACCACTCAAATGGCATTGGTCTGTTAAAACAGCTAAACGAAGAGTATTGCAACAACCACAAAGAAAGTCTAGAGGTGTTAGAGAAGACTCACTTTCCGAGATCAATCGCGGAACAAAATGGGCGATTGACAGCTTTAAACCGTAAAAATTCCTAGGAAAGGACGGTATCTTTCCAGCTTCGCTGCAAAAGGACTACAATATCCTTGAATCAAATCAAATCAAAATAAGCCTTATTGTTCAAAAAACATTGTTTTTGATTGACAAGGCAAAGATCCTACCACTTATTAAGTTTAGGCGAATATAAATTAAAATTTTACCTAATATGAACCCTAAAAAAGATACAAAAAATACAAAGTATGAATACTGCAGTATTCGGGCAGTCAGGGAAAATTCCTTTAGTAAGGGACCAGTTTATCGAATCTGCTAGGGCTTCTTAGGCATTTCCTGGCAATTTTTCAATAACTTTCATCGAGATGTCTTGTCTTCCCCGGATGCATTTTGTTTTTCAATCATATTGCAAATCTTTATAATTTCCCGGTTTTTTGTCATACTGAACTGAAATTTTGCTGCATGTAATATCTGTGCCAAATAAGTTACCGTGTCGATATTGTAGTATAACATACCCGGGGGTTCGCTCAGTAAGATTGAACGATGAGAATTTTTATTACCTTTTAAACAACAAATCTTCTGAAAAATAAATTTAGAAACAAATAGGACCTACGTTGTGGAAACTTACTCAATTTTACTTAATGGACATAAGCCCGACATAGCAAATATTAGGGAAATTTAAGGGAAGTTGTGATATGTAAAAGAAACGAAAAATTTGTGAAACGTCTACTTTATTATTAAAGTAAATCGTACCGTTCTCGACCTAGAATTCTCGAGGGGGGAGAGAACGTCAGAGAAAACCTCGACCTAACATTCCTCAAAAATCGAAACATATTGTGTCATTTTAATAATAATTTTGAGTCAATATTTCAATAATTTTAGTAAATAAAAATTTAAATTAGGTACCATCCTTTGTTCTTGTGCTGAAATTTCAATCACACACACTACACTCAATCAACACTACCTATATTCAATTCTGAAGAGTTTTTTTGTTAGTAAGCCAGTTTCCCAGCGGATACTGAGGTCCCATATGGGAAGCTACTCAGCTTTCGTTGTTTTTGAGCCAATATCTCTAGATTGATTATTTCAATTTGTTAGGATATTCTCTCGTCAGGATAGGAAAATGTTAGTAAATTCAACAAGGCTCTAATGCACGCTCTAAATCCACAAAATCAAAATCTCAGCACAAAAAGACAGCACATAATTTGTTAGGTTCTAATTTACTTCTTTATCTGTATTGTTTAGAGTATAAAACGATTTTGATTAAATACATAAACAATGCACATGTTATAAAAAATGTTATAAGCAAACAAAAAATACATAAAAATGAACAAAATAATAGGAACTTGCATAAATTGAACTCTCAAAAACAAAATAACATTTAATCCACTAACCTGTAAACTCTCCTTACACACACAGTAATAACAAATTGGATTGAACAATCAATTTTAATGCAAAATAGAAATGAAAATTGAATAATGAATAATTACAGACACGCGACACGTTTTCTAAGGGACCAGTCTAACGCGTTCTGTAGTCTAGTTGCGTATTCCCTTCTACCTCCTCTTCGGTTTCGGTACTTTCGTTTTTCTGTGGCGCGCCCCGTTCAAACCTAAACTTGAGGGCGCATACATGGTTGCAACATTTAGTTTTATTCAGTAACCGATTTTTAAAAGTTAAAATTTAAAGAAATAAAATTTTAAATAGGTGGTTTTCCTCAATATTAGAAGATAAGTTTTGAGTCAATTTTTCAGCAATTGAAGTATAGAATGAATTTAGCTGTCCTTTTATCCCTAATTTCGTTAATAATCCCCAAAAATTTTTTACTCTTATTTTCAGCCCCATTTATTCTTTTTCAGTAGTGAAGCCTTTTTGCCTTCCGAATAAGTTGCCGGTAAATTTTCCGATATTTATTAAATTAGTATAAGAGACCTTGAGAGTTGGTGAATTTCCTAATCGTTTGTACTTTGATATTTTTGGTTTTTATTTTTCTTAAAGGAAAAATCTTGTCGAATATCGATGTTACTTTTCTTTGGAAAG